CAGCCGATCAATGTTGTGCTTTCACATCAATGGTTCTCTCCCTTTTTCCCTTCCTCTCTCTCTGAAAATCAATAAACTATTCTTTTAAAAAAAATATATCTTAGATTAAAAGCAAACTCTCCTAACCTTCAGTGGACAAAGTCAAGATTCTTGGTTTCTTCTGAAAGCGTAACACTTGCCAAAACTTTCCTAATGCTCTCTCTTCCTCAAGCAAGATATAAGAATGGTTTTAGGTTTCTGCTTTATGTCCCTTCTCATTTCCTTTGTATGTGTAGTCACTGCTAATTTCTCCCCCGTTCTCTTCTCTTCTAGTTTATTATTGCATGTCTGCCTGTGACTGCTGGGTCACCATTCCTTTCCTCCCCAGTGCTTTCCCAGCCTCTCTGTGCTTGGGGCCTCTTACTTCTTATGGATGCCTTGTCAGGCTGTTAACTGGGACCCTCCTAGAGCTCTCTGGGTCTCAGTCGTCCTAGAGTGAAATAACACCACTGTTGATGTCCAGCTGACCCTCTGATTTTGCTCAGGATAATAATTAGCCATCTTTAAATAAATCCCTGCTCTTACCATATAACTTAGAACATGTGCCTTTGTGATGTTGGATGGGAGACTTATGTTTAGAGTCATTGCTTGTTTTCTCTGCAGCATCACATGGATGATTCTTGTGGACCTTGGTTTCAGTCTGTGTAACTGCCTGTCTTTCTGAGACATCTTTTAAAACACACAACACATCATCATCTATCATTTAAGCCAACTCCATCCCAAACATATCCTCTAAATGTGGAAATAATCATTAAGGGTGTGTGTGTGTGTGTGTGTGTGTGTGTGTGTGTGTGTGTGTGTGTGTGTTTATAGCAAAGAGACAGAAGCTTATACTTATATAGATAACTTAAATTTGTGTTGGCTTTTCTATCTCATGCGGTTCAACGATGTACCAATTTGAGCCTTTTAGCTAATTGCTGCCCCTTTCAAAATTATTTTCCTCAGAATGGGTTAGGTGAGCTTCTGATCATCTCCCTTAGTTCCATTTGTAGGGGAAGTAACTGTACCCCTTTTAATTCTAGTTTTATTCTCATTAAAATGATGACTGCTTGAGAATTAGGAAATGTGCCATCATTCATAGACCCCTGGGACCTGAGTCCAGTGCTAGCTGGCTCAAAGCATGGGAGGACCTGCTGAATGTAGCCATCTCCTTAAGGGAGGAACAGTGAGAGTGTAAGTAAATGTTTTCTGAGTGTAATGTAAGTCCTGACTATACATGGGTAGCTCTCCAGAAAGAACTGAGGTTTCCTGATGAAGGAAGACCCTGTCTTGCAAGGACAGAGTCACCAGCAGCCGCACACCTAGTCAGGAACTCCTGTGCTTGGAGGGACACAGCTTCTCCTTGGCTATCTCTTTGGCGCCCATTAAGTTTCTGTGCATCCAGATAGATAAAATGGGACTGGATCCAGTCTACAGTGTGTGTGATCATTGGTGTGGGTTCAATAATCCATACATCAACCTTCCAGAACACTGCACCTGCTAAATGTGCTAAATGTTCTTTGTAGCTGGCATCTTTTTCTTCGAAAGCTAACCTAGAGTAAGCATAATGACTGCTCTTCATATCACCCTCTCCCGGTGGAGCTCCTGATGCATCCTGAGGCCTCAAATATTTAACTGTGTGGGAAAATATAATGCAGTTGTTTGTATAAGACCTTGTGCTTTAAAATGCATAACATTTCTTGTTTTATTTGAGCTTTAGAGCCACTGGCTTTTTAACTGTGATTCTGAGAAATACTGCTATTCTCTTGAGCTGAACTGAGAACTTTTGCTCTAAAGTTTAAAAGTCTTTTCTCAATTAGCTAAAAAATACCAATGAACAGTCTGCTTTCTTTTTCAATTTTTGGACTATCTTCCCACACCATCATTTTTTTTTCTTAAAAGCTTTGATTTCTATAATAAGTCTATACCTGGTTAAGCCAAGAATTATGTTCTACTGTTTTAATTTGTGTATGATTCCATGAAAATTGCCTTGACTTTCAGGAGTTCAGCTTTTTGAGCAGATAATACTGTTCGCAGCAGTAGCAAGTACCATTACCGCCTTGTTATTGGGGGGAGGGGATTTGCTGCATGAAAATTACATACTAGACGGTGTCGTGCATGCTTACTTTATTTCAGCCTCCCATCAGTTCTGCAGTGTGTTGTAATCACTAGGCTTTAAATGATGGGACTGTCACTGAGCAGCTCAACGACAAAGAGCCAGGAAAGGTGACCACAAAACCCATGGTCCTCTCCACTCTACCAACACATGATAGTTCTTAGTGTTAGTTTTCTAATCTTACTGTTAGGTTATAAGCTCCTTCGGTGCAGCAGTTATGTTTTATTTACTTTCCCCTTCCCCCCCAGGAGGCCCCATAAAACCAGATTAGTTGTTTCCTTCTCATTTTAGCTAGGCTTGCTTGTGAGCTGTGCCTTTTACTCTATTACATGTATCCAAGGACAGGCCCAAATCGTCGTCACTACTCCTAATGACTTGCCTTCTGTTGTGTACGAGGACACACCTTTCTTTGTCTTTCAGTTTGTCTTTACGTCAGGAGCTCAGTCTGTTCTTGACAGCCACCTTCAAATGCGACTTTGGCCATTTAAAAAATAAGCTTTAAATTGCCGAAGGAAAGGTTGTTTACCACTCTCCGAGATAGCAGTTCATATTTAAAGATGCTCAGTATTTATTCTCATGTGAGATGATTTGTACATGTTATTAACCGTGAAGTCAGCCAAAGGAAAAAGAGAAGGCGACCCCCCGGAGACATTAAGGTGTGGAGTCCAGGCAGAGCAGAGAAGAGCAAACATTCCTCAGCGCTCTGAGCGTGTTTAGAAGGACCCGGCCACTGAACAGTTTGCTTTTTGCCTGTGTCCCGAGTGGCGGGCCCACTGCCGCGGAGCTCAGCTGTCTCTTTGGGAGACGCACTATCATGCCACGGCCTGTGACTGCATACAGAGCCCCAAATACATGTTGTTATAAAATTCTCTTCAATAACAGCGCTTTGTTATTAAAACAGCAGATACTGACAATAACTGAGGAATCATAGCTGTGTCCTTAAAGTTTGAAGGAAAACTACCTGGCATGGCTTCTCTAAGAAAAACGTATTTATCACCCAAGAAAAAGAACAAGTCTTTTTTCACTTACACACACTCACACTCACACACACACTCACACTCACATAGTCTATATATATTCATATATATGTATATGACTCAGCTGAAAAAACAATGTAATAAAATTGTCATCCACTCAAATTTCAGTTTCTGTGCCTCTAAAACAATTTATTTTTTGACCTTGGTGTATCATGGTGGTTTTACTTGCTTTTTATTTGTTTGTTATATTTTATTTTTTTATTTTTCTCCAATTTGACTTGCGGTGTACAGGTCTGTTTTAAATGCTTGTTGAAAAAAAGCAGAGTTTCGTGGAGTTCTCCCATTCCCCTCTTCGTATTAAAGGTGATGGGTTATTTCTGAGGGTGTCACATTTACTCTGGCTTCATGTTCATGGTAGTTCAGGGGCTGCACCTGAGCAGTGAGCCTTCGGCTTACCCGAGGAAGGGGAAGGTGTAGTTGTGCAGGACGGGGCTGTTGTCTTCGGATTTCATGGGACTCTGTATTACTTATACTTTTTAAAAAAAACTCTTTCATTCAAGAACAGGTGCCAACCATTCAACTATTGGTATGCCACTTGCTTGAGAAATTTTTCAGATGGAGGTGGAGAAGGTGGGGAGTAATGTGGTGAAGTGTCTATTGATAAGACAAATAATCAAATGTGAACTTGGAATTTATAATAACCTGGTGACATAGTGTTTTATCCTAAGTAGCATGGTAATTTCTTATTATAAAATAAGTCATTTTATTAAAGAGCAACTTCTATAGGAACAAGGATGAAAGTATTGGCAATTTTATGTTTCGTACACAGAATAAGAATGTTGGAACACTTAGAAAAATCAAATTTATAAATAATTTCAAATAGATTTACTTTTTTATAACTGTACCATATAAAGTGAAGTATGAAAAATGTTATTTTAGACTGCAATAGCTTGAGAGAGTTGGGGAATTAGTTTTAGAATATTGATTAATGGGGAATTGCATTTCTACTGTTTTCCACTTTTTTCCCCCCAAAAGCACACAAATAAAAAGTTAATTTTTATATGAGAGCAATTTTAAACCACAAATGGATTTTTTTTTTTGAGAGTTTCCTCTATAGTGGTCAATTTAGTATGAAACAAATTATTTTAGGCCTAATTGCAAGCAGAATAGTTAGGCCGCTAGCTCTGCTAAGGTAGAATTTCATTTGAACTTTCAAATAGTATGATCTCTTTTTTCAGAATTTAATAACTGACTCAAATATTTAATAGTGGAAGCTTTCATTAAATTAAAAAGAAATCAGAATATATTTTTAGAAGTAACTTATTTTCCTTATCAGCTTTATCTACTTTGGGAGAAAAGGGAGAGAATGGAACCGATCTCTTTGTGTACTTAAATAGATATGAATGCTGTAACCCCAGCAGATAGTTTACTTCTGTATATATCATCATTCAGAAGATTTGGGAAGCCCCAAATGACAGCAGTAACTATACTTCTGGCTCTACTGAATAGCAAACTGCACTGACTGTGTGAACCTCTCCACTTACCTGCTAGATAATCATTCTTTGTTATACTCAAATATATTTTCTAGATCAGTTTTACATTGCACACTGTTAACATTGACATTGCCGAACAGTTTTTGCTTAAGTACAATGACTTCTTTTGAAATGCAAGTGGGGAAAGATGAGAGTTGAAAGATCTTGTTTCCATGTGTCCTTCTATGAACAGATGACAAAAGATCATTACATGGATTAATTTACAAGCATTCTTGAGAAATAGAATGTTTTCACATAAAAGCACGCTGTAAACCTTTTTAATTAAATTGCACTGTACCATGCACTCTCTTCCCTGCAGGGTTCTCTTGACCTCTCACCTCTTCTTTTGCCCTACAGGCACTCCACTGCTGGTGAGGAGAAGCAGTGACCCTGCGCCAGGCCCACCTGCTGATGCCCAGCCCACTGCTTCACACCCCAGTAGCCAGAGTCTGAAACCTGCTATTCCAGTAGGTATCCTGCCCTTTGAATTTCTAATGAAAGATCCAAGTGCCTTACCCAAAGATAGATTTGCAGTCTTAAGTTGACTATTAGAGATCTTTTGTTGGGACATCTAGTATTAGTTATAATAACTAGTATGAGGTATAACTAGTATGTAGTTATAATGATAGCTTTTGTTTATATAGCACTGATTATGTGTCCAGTAGTGTTTTAAGTGCTTTACATTAAGTCGTATAAACTAGCACATCAAAGGAAGAACATGTTTTTGTCTTCATTTCATTGATGATAAAATTGAGGAAGAGGAAGGTTTAATGATTTGTCTAAGGTCACAGCTAGCAAGTGGCAGAGCCAAGAATTTAACCCAGGTGGTTTGGCCCCAAAGTCCACGCTCCTCACCAGTGCACTATGCTGTTGAATCGCAGTACCCTCCTGCTTCATAATGCCCAAGGATGTCACTGGCACGTTCAGTGTGTCAGTGAAATGCTTTTGAAGTTATAACATGGTAATGGTGGCACACAGTTTCAGCATAACCAATATCATGGATATGTGGTGCCAGTATTGGGTTTCTAGAACTCAACATTGAAATTAAAGAAAAATAAAATTACATACCCAAAGTGCTTATAACCAGATATATTTATATGCTATACTTATAAACTAATAGATTAAATGGAAAATAGTTCCCTAGAGAGGTAAAAATCTTCCTTCCCGTTGGTACTGTGGGATCTTACTGCTAAATCCTGAGTTGTTTGAAGAGTTGTGGTTGTGGTTCATCCTTTGAAATGGCCTGAGTTAGATTCTGGTTAATGGCTACATATCATAGCAATATGCGATCTTCAGAATGTCACCATATTAAAAAGTCTCCTAGAAGTCTTCCCTATTTTAGTCTCACTATCTACAACACCTTAAGAAAAAAACAATATTTCATAGGCATATAAGGATGCCAAATGAGCTAAATGGACTCTTCCAGTTTTATATAAAATATTCTTATCAGGAACCTGTGTCAATGTGTTTGAGGTAGGAGTCACTATATCAATCATTGGGCAGTTACTAATAGGTTAGTGGCAATATTTCGGCATATTGTTTTCTGTGAGCAAGGAAGCGAGGGTCCCGAAAGTATTTCAGATGTAATGTTTCTCACTCTTCTTCATCCTTTTAAGGAAATATAATGAATGAAAAATTACTTTTAATAAAAATTAGGTGTATGCGTTCTGCTGTAATGATTAGTATAAACAGAGCCAGTATGTGGTATGATGTGTGTTTGCGTGTGTGTATTTAACACACACTAATTGAGACTGTGTTAAGCCTAAGTATATTGGATTGGGGGGGAAGGAACTATATAAATGAGAGACTAATTGCATAAAAGAGAAAGACTACAGTTCACCGCTTATTTTTACATCAGTGTCCCCTAAAATGAGAGTGTGTCTGATTGTTACCATCGTTTACATGCAAAATACCCACCAATTAGTTCCATGTTTCTATCGCTTATGCTCTGTGTTTCGACGAATTAAAAATTCATCAATACTCCTTTTCCTAGAGGAAATGAGAGCTACTCTATTTCTGATAGATTCTGTATCCTTACCAAAATATGATATCAATGAGTTCTCAGTTGGGGTATTTGGGGTAAGAGATACATTGTTACCAACAGAGAAATGCGTCCTGGTTCAAGAAGAAATGCTGACACCCTCAGTGCTCTTACCTAACAATATGCTAGTTATCAAGCGTGGGCCAAGTCCACATATAGCAGCAGTAAAAGGAAAACACATGCCTCCTCCTTTTCTCACAGTGCTCTCTGTGGATGACAAAGTGTAGACTTGAGACCCAAAGAATAGAATCTGGTTCTTGCCTTGCCACAGAGCAGTGGCCCATCCTATGCCTTTCTTACTTCAGTTGTGAAATACTCTCCATGCAGACTTTAAGCATTAACAGTCCAATGTACAGGCATGGCACCTTTTTTATCTCTTTATTGCTAGTGCCAAGTATATGGAGGGTGCTCAGTGTATATGTGTTGGATTTAGAAATGCAAGACACATATTAATCTGGGAAAAGTCCTAGAAGTTCTTAGCAATGACCCAGCTTTTCTAATTCGATTATTTCTGCTCCCCAAAAGAGTGTACCAGGTAAAAGTTTATCTGCTGCAGGGTCCAGTTCACAGATGGATAGTTTAACTGCCCTATTGAGAAGGGCTGGCAAAGTTAATAAGTGAAGACATTTAGGTGTACCTATTTTTACCTAGAAGAAAAAAACATTTGTGTGCATGTGTGTATTATAACTCTATTTATTTATCCCTGCATATCCAGACTTATGGACTATTTAGAACTGTGTTGTTCAATATCAGAGCCACTGGTACATGTGGCTATTGAGCATGAAAATATATTTTAAGTGTAATAGGCACACTGGATTTCAAAGATTGCAATATGAAAACTAAGGTAAAATATCTCAATAATTTTCATATTGACTACATGTTGAAATGATACTATATTGGGTTGAATACAATATATTACTGAAATTATTTTTGTGTTTTTAAAACACATTTCTACTAGAAAATTTAAAACTATATCTGTGGACCACAGTCTGTTTTTGCTAGACAGAGTAGCTCTAAACTAAAGTAGAATTGGATATAGCGTTAATGAAATGGTTAGAGACCCTGGGGAGAAGTTCTTTGAGTTGCACACCATCTCTGGGGTAATAGTATGATTAGGTTTGCCTGGAGCAGTCCTAGCCCATGCCTGTTGTTCTGGCATAATTATTAATAGTGTCCCCACTAACTCTCAGAGGTGTTCATGTGTGGATGATAAATTATGTGGCACCCTACATTGTAGCCCTATAGTCACTTTTATTGTTTGCTCAGTGATAAGAGGAGTGGTCTTTCGTGGAAGCCATGGGAACATAACTACAACTCTCACATCAGAACACACTGCGGAGAAAGTTCTTTGTAACAAGGGCCTGAGCCCAGGGAGTGCAGATACGAGACTGCAGATTCTTTTGCACCTCTCAGATTCCATAATTCTACTTGATGTGCCCTCCACAACTTCAGCAACACCATACTTAATTCCTTTGATTTGATAAGTGATGATGAATGTGAGGAGTGTGTGATAATGTACCCATGCAGCAACTAATACGAAAAATAATTGCTTAAAAAGCTCTCTTCAGTTGCATTGCATTTCAATATCCAAAGGAAAAAAATTACAATCAAAATTTCCATCTCTTAAACAGAGTGTTCACATGTAAATAATTCACAGATGGCAGAGCCCCAAGTGGGTTATGTTCAATCATTCCCAAGAAATGAAACTTACGTATAACCCAGAGCATAAGAAGCTGTAAGGATGAATAGTTGACACATTTGATTATGTTGAAATATTGCCTTTAAAACCACAGTTGATGACTGTTATTTTTAGTTGCGCTTTATTAGTCTTTCTATAGAGGGAACTTTTTCTTTGATGCCCAGATATGTGTTTTTGAAAAGCTGGAAAAGTTGCACTTGTTTTCTGGCTGGTTGAGTTCTTACAAATTGCTTATTTAAGATGTGTACCCTCGGACAAGTTGGAGTTTTAAAAAGGATTTAAATTAGAAAAATCAGGTTCTCTGCAAGCCTCAAATTCTTTGAATAATGAAAAGCCACCAAACCTCATGGTTACTTAGAGTACCACCCAATAAACAGCATGAAAATGTGTGTCCTTTCTTCCTCTTTTCACAAACCTATCCAGCTCATCAGAATAGTATAATTATTAATGTGCAACTAGCAATGACCGTTTTTCTTTCAAGGCAATAGAAAAGCTAATTCTACTGACTGCTTTTGAATTAAAGAGAGAGAATCCTAGGGGCAAGATATTGTAGTGTGAATGAGCTTATGGGCCCCTTCCTTGCCTTGATTGTAACCTGGTGTTCTTGGCTTCAGGGCAGGCCATAAAACCAGGTTCTTGAAATTGATGTTCCTGAATTTGCGGATGGAAGAGGACTCTAAAACAGATGTGATTTTTTCTTCTTAATATCCGGTTAACTACTATGGTTGTTTTGTGTTTTAATGACTGTTTATAGGTTCACATTTAACCCCTAAAGCAAAAAGATCCTGCAGGGTGAGTAAATTAAAAAGTGGATTCCTGAACACTCTAAGGCTGTGCCTGTTCTCAGATAGTAAACGACTTTGTTTGTTCTAAAACTGTTACTTGTCTTGCATCACCGAAATCAGTTAAGGAAATACTGCTCTGCCTTTTTAAAGCTCATATCTGTAATATATACATTTTATTTTTTAAAAATAACATGGTAGCCTTTGAGGCTGCTAAACTGGAAGGTCGTGAGTGGGTTTCACAGGGCCTGTCAACTGTCTGAAGTTTTAAGCTGTGGCAGAGAGAGAAAGAGAGAGAGATGGAGGGAGGGAGGGAGAGACAGAAAAAGGAAGGTGTGTGTGTGTTTCATGAAGGAAACTCTATCACTGTTAGCAAACTTTAAAAGGACAACAAAAGATCAAGAACTTGTTTTGGGGTTTTGGATGAAATCATGTCGGGAGGACACCATTTCTCAAAGTCTGACGAATGACAGAAATTAAGAAATAAGGTAGAAATTGCCACTTCCCTCAAATATGTATTAAATAGTTAAGATTATTTCATCACATTATCACCTTTTCTATCCAACACATAGTATGTAAATTCAAGATGTTAAGGTGAATAGATGTTTGTAAATTGCTGCATTGAGAGGCCAAAAATAACTCTTCAGTCAGTGGCAACCTAATTCCTAGCAACAGAGAGATTGGGGAGAAAGGGCGCAGACCAACCAGTGCGAGACATGTTTCCAGCGGTCCTGCTTGTTTGGTGGGACTGAGAAGGGGAAATAGACTGTTGGTTCTTTGGAGATTTTGGTATTTTATCAGCAAAGTGAGTGGCAGGTATCTTCTAATGGGAGAAAATGTTTCCAGTGAATAGAAGCATTATCTTTATGTCTGATATATAATTGATTTAAGAAAGTTTCCCTTGTATGTCACGTATATTGAAATTATAGTCAATGTTGCACCTGG